TGCAAGAAATTAATAAATAATTAGAGATTTAAATTTCAATGGAATAACTTTTCTCTTAGGTTTCGTGTGTTTAGATATTTTAGATGAAAAAATAATGATAAAAAAGTAATTAACACTGTGTCCAAAAAATTATCTTTAAAAACTTTCAACAAATAAAAAAAATCTGAAAAATTTCTTATAACAACTTATATAACAACTTATATGCCAACTTTCTTCATGTGGCGAAAGCAATAAAAGTTGATATATATATAATTTGCGTAGCAATATGAAAAATTGTAAAAAGTTTCGTATATCTCAGAATCCAAAGTTACTTAGATGCGGCTTCCAAGGATTGCTAAGGCCGAAGGTACACAATCGCGTGAAATTATACGTAACGTGATTCACGAACCAGTACAACTTCCATGCATTCAAGCGTATTCAAGAAACCGATGTCCACCCGCGATATAGTCTATTCTAACCGTGGCTAATTAGTTACGTTCGTACGTTTAAGGAAAAAGAAATCTCTGCGATTAAGCGACTACGTTTTCAAGAATATCATAAAAGATGCAAAATGTACAATATATATTTTTACTTCCCTATATTTCATCATCCTAGTGCTATTTGTAAATTGTTTAGTGATATAAATTGTGTACAATGTATATCGTGATGTGTCCAAATTGATTTAACTTACGCAGTTATCTGTTATCACAAAATCAACAGATAATTCATATACTTTTTACTTATTTCTTTTTTTTTCTAAATTAGCGCGATTACAAAATTTTCTTGTTGCCAATACGCAAAATACACTTGTAAGCTGACAAACGTGCATCTCTTACAAATATTGTAGACATCTTTTTTTTTACGGAGCTGAAAAACGTTCGCAACATTCTTTGTTTTCAGGACACGTCCCGTACTGGTTATACAGCCGAGACCATTCGTGACGCGCTTTTCCCGTATTGGGTTAAACGCGATTCACGAAGGGTGGCGTGTGCCAGCGCGCCTCTCGTGCTCGTTATCGTCCAGTTCGCGAAATGTGCCCCGCCGTACCGCGCCCGCGCCACGCGCAGCATATCGAGGTGATCGTAATTATTTCCCTCAACTTTTCTCACGGCAACACTGTGCGAGGCGAATTCGGGCAATGCGCTCGACAAAGTCACATCGTCGCTCTTAATTGCGCATCTGTCAAGTTTACTCACGTCGCTTCTCGACGATGTCTTTTCCACCGAACAAAGAGACATTTCAGCCAAGGAAACTCTTGCTCGTACACATCGATTTTCGTGTCCCTCACGTTTCACGTCAGGTATGTCTGTAGTTAATCCTATAGCGAAAGTAACTTCGATTCGTGAGACGCACATTGAACACCCACGAAAATACAGCTGAGTAGAGATACATATATATATCCGTACCTTAATACATTTCGAGGTCAGCGATAAGTCTAATACATTTTTTATTTTTATCTCACCCGCCCGTTTTCTCTCTTTCCCTTTACTTTACTTTTACTGATAATCGAATATCAAGAAGTTGGTTTATATATAAAAAAAAAAAACAGATTAAAAGAATTAGTTTTTCTTCACGAGCTCTTACGAAATAAAAAGCAGTGCTATAAAAGTATATTAAAGAGAAGTTAGCTTTGTTTATTGAAATCCAATTCATTCTCTTTGACGCACCTATTTTTGCAGGCTAAATAATTAATTTTCTGCAAAAAAATTATGTGCTCTGTAGCTTAAGTGAAATCATCGCTTTCAATATAAATGTATAAAAAATTATCGCTTGGCGTATGTCAATACATACGTCAATAAGTTAAATATATTTAATAAAAAGGCACACACACGCGCTGACTTCGTTATTATTTAATTTCCAACCCGAGGACGCCGCAAAGTATTTATTTATCACTTTCGTCTTGCGCAGGAAGTACGCCACGTTAAACGTACAACTCGCGAAATGTGTAGTTTACGGTTGCCAGTTTTGTTCCCATATTTCCGCTCCCATATTTCAAAGACACTCGCTCCTGCATTTCTCACGGCGCTGCGAGCACTTTATACAGTATCGATGAATATTTAAACCGCCAGTTATCCATCGTGTACAATATTAACAACTCTCTCAGTGCGAAGTCCGATTAAACTGAAGCGCAAATAGCATTTTAATATTTTACGCACGCGGTGCGTTAACAACATCGGCAGCTCTTCCGCAAACACGCCGTGATACCGTAAGAAATATTCATTTGGAATCACAAACAGCCTCGAGTGCGCGGCTGTGAATTTCCGGTGTGATGTTCATTGTCGGGATGGCCACGGCGGCATGCGGAATGCTTGAAATGAACTCGAGCCGGTCTGACCACCGGTGCTTTTCATAATGCACGATTCGCGTTTTGATGATATGACCCTTAAAGACGAGCATAATATATGCGAGTCGTGTGTATAATTTACGTGATGAATTCACTGGCATTTGCTAATGAATATATAAGGTATTCAAAAGCCTATCTCTATCATAGCTATCGATTTTTAATTGAAGTTGAGTTAACAAAAACTTAGCAGATGACCATCGTTACTGAAAGAGATTTAAATTTCCGATTTTAGATGTCAACAATTATATGTGAAATTAAATTTCTTTTACGTATTTTAGATAATAAAACGAGAAAAAAATAAAGTTTAATATAAAAAAAAAATATATATATATATATATATATATATATATATATATATATATATATATTTTATATATATAGAGTGAAAGAAAGAGATATTTCAATATCCTTCCTTTACATTAAAAATATTTCCATTTTATTCTTTTTTATGCCGAATGCAACGTTATTGATTGCTCATAATCCCATCATATTATCGGGAAAGAAGCTCTTCTCGAGCCACGAGCACTCGTCGTGCGAAATGGCCATGACAAGAAAATATAGATGTAGGTTTATGTATCTACAAAGTAAAAGCTAATCGATATTTATCGATCGCCCTGCCAAAGGCGAGCAAAGGACACGCTAACAAGTATCCTTCGACATTCGCAATCACTCTCCAATTACTTTCGTACATGTACCTTTCGTTTGTTAGATAACTACTAATTGCACAAGTTGAAAAATAAGAAAAATAATCCAGAAAAGATAAGAAAAGAATGTCGTCTAATTAAATTGTGTCTATTTTCATTACATTATTGCGAATTATCGGAAATATAGTTTACGTAAAATTACATTGGCAAACGTTGAATCTATTAAATATATTGAAATCCTGTCGTATTCGCTGTAATTAAAGTATCGTATTAATGTATGAAAAATAATTATTATCTCCGATTTATATAATAAATTCGAGAGATTATGAAACAAATTGTCTCAACTAATCTGACGCTCACTGTGCAGCGTTAATGAAAAGCCAACTATACTACTCGACAGATACGAATCGTGTCATACTTCGTCCGTGGAATGACTTCGCGTAAACGATGATGGACGATATACGAATGGCACAGCACAACGCATCTCTCGATTATCGTCGCGTTTTATCTGTTCGTTCTGCCGATCAGCCGATCGTAGGTCAGGGCCAGCCGCATCGCGCGGAACAACGAAAAAAAAGATCCGATAATGCGCCTCTTCACAGGACAATCGCGACAGCCATATTTTGCCAGAGGTTCTCGTTTTTTTTTTCCGTTCGAAACCGCTCGGCCTGTCACTCACGACCTCAATGCCGCCTGGTCGAGCAGAATAAAGCGATCTAGAGTTCGTTTACATCGAGGGTTGCCGCGATCGCGTGAGACTGCAGCTCTTGCAGATGGTTAAAATCTGTGCTCATCGTATTGTCATCACGCGTTAGTACTGAATGCTATTATGAGATTCTCATCTCGCGTTGACGTAGAGCGCAAAATAGAAATTGGACAGGTATAACGAATATTTGCGGATTATTTAAAAAATAGAAAAAGAAAATCGAGAGATATACGTAAACGCGATAAATTATTTGATCGATAATAATTATTTTTATTGTTAATAAAGTAATTGAAATTTTTCTTGATTAATTTCTTTCGGTAGAAGGAGCCAATAAGATAAATATAGTATTTTTTAATTATTTTTTTTTGTTTTTGTTTGGTTTTGAAACGCAGATTTTTTTAAATAGAAATTATTATTTGATGTTTGGAATGTCTATGCATTTGTAAATTTTTTTTCGCGAGTGCGCATATATTTATTTCTTGTGTTTCGTTGTAAGGTGAACTCGATTACAGCGTCACTGTCACATTATATCGGTAGCCTATTTATATTTTATGACATGACGTGCAGTACGAACAAAATATGAAGCGCGACAACACAGTGAACTGCAAAGTGTGCGGCGAACTGGAAACTCAATTGCGAATAACGTCGGTTGGACATAACACTTATTAAACTCTCAACTAAATATTATATAGATATATTCCTCACAGTTACCTTGTTGTGCATTTCAAATAATTGTTAAAGATGTCATTTACGACTTCTATTTTTCCTTCACGGCTATTATGTAACGTTTAATACAAACCCTACTAAAAATAAAGTAAAAATAATTTCTATTTATTTTCAATTCAATTCAGTTAAATAATAATTTCACATTTATGCAAAAATCCACATTTAAGTAACAGTACTTTTTAAAAAAGGTAATCTTCAATATAAGTATTATAATTTCTCCTCGAATGAAGAATCACGGCAACAAATGGAATCAAGATTCTTTTCGTACTTCTCAAGATTCGCGATAAGTTGGAAGTTTTGCATTTCATGTATCTTGAATTAGAATTGGAAACGCTTAAGCATTTCCGCGACATGCATTTATCTGAAAATGATATAACGATAATAATGCTCAAGATTGCACTCTTAACTGAATATTAAGAAAAGATTGGAGAACTTAAGTTTAGCTTCTACGTTTCCCGACTAATCACGATCAGCGCATAAGTTTGCTTTCTTTCTCGCGATAAAACATCGACATGCAGACGAAATTCGCTTCTTCGCGTGATCGACCAATCAGATATCCTGCTGGAACGCACGGCAACAAGTATCCAAGTGATAGCCTCACCTCGCGCGCCCTCCGTCCGGAGGACAGTGCCGAAGTAGGCCACCGGAACTTGGAAACTTCAGCCCTCAGTGCTCCACGCGGACGCACGAACGCGAGTTCTTACTTCCATCTTCCGTGCACGCGTCGGCGCCAAATTGTACGATCGGCACGCGACGGCTGTCACCTCGCGACGCGACGACCGACGGCCGTCGTGGATCGCTCCGCGGCGTTGGTACATCGATGATTCGACAAAATCGATCAGCACTCGAGGTTCATGTATTAGATGGAATCCTGGCACTAACCCCACGAGCTGCCTCAAGTGACTCCCGCTCGTCCTGATCGTCGTCGCAGGATCACCGCGTACACACCAATCGATTCGATCGTCCTAGACTGTAATCCGCGTTCAACGACGGCGCGCGATCGCCCTTGGCGATAAGTCGGCTTGATGATGTCCGACGATACGAAACCCGAGATGGTGTGCGACCTTGTCGAAAGCGTTAAATCACTGGATACTCGATGAGCACAATCCGTCGAGACATTTTCGCGCGCGATGTCCCACTGCCGATTATTCGCGCCGTTCTCTCGGCTGACACCAGCCGTTCGTTTTCACTCGCTTTTCTTCGCACTCGCGCGCCGCATTGTGTATCGCGCGAGACAAGTTTGAACGATCGAAATCTAACGAAAAGGAGAAGTAAATCACGCGTGTTACAGCTCGATCGTCGAGATGATATCGATCTCGCGTAGCATCGAACCGCGATCGATGTATCTTGTGTCGCGAGCCGACCGACTTCCGGTCCAGACGTTAGTTCCTCACCCCGTCGTTGTCGGACGCGCTCTTTCAAGGCGAATCGCCCGACGAACACGCGGCGAGGATTCAAGTGAGCGCCGGTGAGCGTCGCGACGCCGTGCAACCCCGTTCCGCCACACGCGTGCGCAAGAGCGTTCGGCGCTCTTCAATGTCCGTGCAGGGGGAATCGTCTCTTATGTGAAGTCATTATCAATTCACCTACTTTCCTTCATAATCATCGACGACTCGCGACTCGCTAAAGTATTTCGATTAACGATAGCCAGCTCGATCGCGGCGTTCTCGAACGAGGATTTCAACTCTATTACATTTTTATGAACTTGTTCTTTGCGATGAAGAAGCATGCAATATTGAAATCTTACAAAATCCGTTTTTCATCAAATTTATAATACATAGCCTTGCATAATATTATTAATACTTTATGATCCGGGATTATCTATTATGCCAACGTTCGATTATCCAGATATATGTCCTGTCCTATCCAATTATAACGTTGCATTGTGCAAGCTTATTTTGTATTATAACGAACAGTCCACACACGGCTACTCGATTCTCGTTTCTTTCTAAAAATAATTATTAGTTATACAGTTAGCTGAAAAAAATGAAAGATGTTTAATGATTAAAACTATTTATAAGCCGATTTAATGTCCAAGATTTAGCCAAAGTTTACTAGTGAATAAAACAAAGAGATATTGATTACATTCATTATTTGTTACGAAACATTTCGTCCTGCAACCGTACTAATATTTTATAAGCATGCCTTCAAGTATTTCTATATTATTTGAACATTACAATAGCATAAGATAGGTATAGAATATGCAATTAAAATAAATCAGAAGTTATTTTAAATTGTTCCACAAAGCACACGTAATTTTTTCAGTTACTGCCTGAAAAGTGCAATTAACATACATAATTAATTTTATAACATTAATTATACAATATTCTATAATATATATCCTTGTAACAAGTTTCTTAAACTTAGAAGATTACATCTTTTCCCACTAATAATAACTTTGTTGCCAGGACGACGTAGATAAAGTTTTCTGCAGAAGGATATTGTTCATTCTGGCAGGGAACTATGGGAATCATTGGACAACTATTTGCAACAGCAATTCGTAAGTTCCGCTGCAAAGCCATTATCAAGTTATAACATAAGTTTCTTTATTAAAACAGGTGTAATAACATCAGATAGTCTTACATTGTCGCGCAAACTTATATTTTCTCGCAGCTGTGTCTTCTTCTCTGAATTATGCTGTGTATCGGCTGCTTGCTAATCCGTTGACACATCACAGTTTGTCAAAGGTAAGTTTGTACCGGGAAACTTCTGTTACAGATGAGCTGCTGGAACCAACTTCGTGCATACAGAGCGGAAGAACAACGAGAGTGAACTGACGATTAGATAAGGCGGTCGGATTTATCATTTCGTTCATTGTAATAAATCAATTAAATTTTTGCGATTTGTCTTTGCCTAATACTGCTGCATTCTCAAATTAAACATTTGTATGCACGTACTTACAAGACTTTGCAATAAGAATGCAATCATATATCGGTAAATATTTTGGCATAATTAATTTTTTCTTAAACAACGATGAATGGCATTTTTATAATGCTTTATTTGAAACGCGATTAAGGCATTAAGGCATGTATTGTATGTAACTGTAATTAAAATTAAAGATCGATATTATAAACAACACTAACATTACTTTTTAATAAAAATATTTGCTTCCTTAATTGCTTGCACCGATCTGTAACAAAAACATATTTGCATATAACATACAAACTATTTTGTCATCCTGTAAGATTATTTGATTAGAAGGCACATGTTTCCCAAACATGAAAATTTAGTTTGTTCGTGTATCGATCTGGTTGATAAACAGCTTTGGAGGATGCGTTCCACGTATCCAGTGCAGTCGCAGCAACCGTACCTGACAGCAGCCACCGCACACAAAGCTTCTGTTAGCGTGTCCTTTCCTTCGCTTTGACGTGCGACAGACCTTAGCCCAAAATTAACCCCATTACGCGAAGTAATGAGTAGAATATCGCGATGTCAGGAACATCAAAAGACTAATTGAGATGAAATACAAGCCAAGGCATTGCTACCAAATTATACCTTTGTTACTTGCTTGCTCACAGTTTGTAATCTTCCTTGAAACGTGCTTCATACCGAAAAAGAAATCAAGTAAAACAAGAAGCGATTAAGAGAGGTCAATTTACAATTATCGCGCAAGTGTGTATCAAGAATTGTATAATTAAAATACAACACGTTACAATACATGCATATGACATCTCTGCAATCCAGAAAGTTCTCTCACACGTTATCAAAATGTTCATTATGGCCAAACCGAGTTGTCTTTGTATAACGATGACTGCACGAACAATGTGTTAGTGCTCGCATTAGGACACGGATGTGTTTCCATTCTACCTATCTCAAACGAAGAACCGCTCTACAGTATCAGTCCGTCGTTCGTGACGTCACCACACTCTATTCCGTACTTTCCGTGCATTGGGGTTAATTTTGTACCATAGTAGGTACTCAATCGCACGATCTTCATCGATATTGAGCGCTTTTCGTGAGACAGGTGTGCCCGTAGGGGCTGATTAAGGCACGTTTCATGCACTTTAATGAGCACAAGCGGTAAAGACAACTTTAATGCTATTAATGTCTCGGCGCATTTGCCAATAAAAAAAGGTATTTTTATATTTGAAAAAATTTTGGATATAAAAGTTGAAGCACTCAAAAATAAATAATCGATCAGAAAATAAGTTATATTAATTTTTTATCGCCTACTTACGTATAAATTTCTTTGAAATTATATAATTATTATTTTTAATTTAAATGTGTATAAATATCCCAAGTTTTAATTTCAATTCATTTCTCTCTCAATAAACTGAGAATTTATAAACGCTTTTAGATACGCATGAAAAACTGTGTGGTTCTCTCATATACAAACATTCTTGTTCGCTAATAATCTAATAGTGTTGGATCGTCAAGCGTCGTCGAATATACAGTAGGTATTAAAGCCTTCCACAGTTCTCTCCTCGTATGAACGTGTAATCACGACATTCATAGACTTCGTGTCATTTCCTTTATCACAGGAATTTCTTGCCAACATTCAACGGTGAAATAGCTTTGCACCTGCAATATCAAGCTGCAAGGAACTTCGTAGGACGCGCTAATAGAATCGCAGAGAATCTACTAAGCGTAGAAAATATAGGCATTGAAGCAAGTTTCGAAATATCTGTAAGTACGTGATTTTCCGAAATATGATAAACAACTGAATAATAACATAACAATGTTAGTCTTAATTTGTTTAATAAGCCAACTATTCAACTCAAAATTTAATAGTTTTGTTACTTAGTTGCAATTTTTATTTTTATAACCAGTTCTTATTTTATTCACTGTAAAACAATCCTCAATCAAAAATGCCAAATTATTTTATTTTATCACATCTGAACACCATCTAAAAAATGAAAAATGTTTGCGCATCAAATTTTATATTACAAAGAAATTAAATATCAATAAAAACTATCCAATATAGAATAATCTAAATTTCTTATCGTACTAATTGTTAATAGAATAATTTAAAGTTAAAATCACAAGTATGTAATGCAATAATAAGAAAATTTTCATTGGAATAGCAAGTTCGATTTTTATAAAAGATGTCTACCGCGCGAAAGAAAAGGTGCCATCGCGAGCGCATACCTGAATGGAGGTAATATCAGAGTGAATTTTCGGTGAGAGATCTGTCGGTTTGAAAAGGACAGGTAAAAGCCAGTCTCGAGAATGAATGGACTCGTCGAGGAGACGAAGACGGCGAATCCGTTGGTGTCGATGAAAAGAGAAAGAAGAAAGGAAGAGGGTATGAGCGGAGGGGCTCTCATCATCCTCCGCTAATATTTACCCGTGCAGACACACAAAGGCCTACCTTGGTCATCTAAAGAACCACCTCCAAACCCTCCAATCTCTGCGCACTGATAAAGATATACGGAAGTCGTTCGCACGACCGTGCTTAACTCCGCTTACAACACCGACAATATTCTTGCTGTGACTTTCGCAATTGTGACTCATTGAAATGAAAGAAGTTGCAAGTAGTTTTATTGATAAAACTTGCGAACTCTAAAGATAAGATGTTTACTTCACGAGCGTTTTTCCTATTGACGCGTATTATTAAAATTTGTCGATGTGCGTATAGAAAAAGGTATACAATTTTAACTCAGAGTACGCTAATTAAATATTAAAATAGTAAAATCGAGACGTTGTAGACGTTGTACAAGAGATATGTTAAAATTCAATTTATTAGCGAGGACATATCTCTTCAGATATCGTGCTTTTCAATGTAAATTAGATTTTCCAGGAGCATACTCGATTTGCATGCAAATGCATCTCTAAAAAATGAGATATGATTATATTGCGGCATTGAAAGCTATGGTTTTAGGTCAATATGTTTTGTGATTTTCTTTATTTTCTCCTAATATATTTCGTAAAAATTTTTTCGAGGCCAAAATATTAACACAACAAACATATATAATATAATTGACCTTTTCTTTTTTCAAATAAAGGATTAAATAAGCAATTTGGCGTAAAAATGAAATATATGCATCGTTTTGTGCTTTTGGCATTCAATTCGGATATAACAATATAATTATTCACACAAGATTTAAAATTGATTTTCCGGTGCAATACGTAAACAAAATTAATAATCAAGTTTTAATAGCCGGAATTTAAAAATGTATTAGAGCACAATGTAGAAATTCTGCAGTCAAAATAGGCAACAAAAATATAAACATTTTAATCTTTTTTATCTTACGAAGAAAACTTAGTAATATACAAAATTAAAAATACCTTTTTTAAGAAACTTTTATAACAAACACGCTGCATAAACAATTTGATTAATTAGCTTAAAAGCCAACCACTCAAGAAACCATAATATGATATGGTGCAGAGTACACCGGAACTATTTTAAACTGTTCTAATCAATACATATAAAAGAATTATATTAAGAAAGTCAGCACTGTAAAAAGTAATTAATTAGTTTT